CTTAACCTGACTTAATTATTATAGTGCTTACTACCAGAATCATGTTATTTCCTAGTTGTCTGCACAATTATTTTTTCCCCATTAAAATATAAGCTCCATGAAAACAAGATCTTTATTATTTGCCATACTCTTACATCCTGGAATAATATTTCACCCATGGTAGAAGTAGCCAACTAAATACTACCACCATGCCCTGGTCAGAAAACTCTTTAAATCTGTGGATTTAACATTTGTTGTTTCTATTATGTGCTAACAGCCCACTACCTAGGGTCATGACATTCAGTAAGTAATATGTAACGTCCAGGATTCAAAGAAACTTCTGTTCTCAACTGATGTTCACACAGTTACACTTACTAAGTAATAGAATCCTGGCTCTAGTACTTACTGCCTGTAAAACCTTGGGCAAATCCCTTAACCTCTCTTGGGACAGTTGTGAAGATGAAATGAGTTAATTCCTATAAAGTACTTAAAATAGCACCATACACATAGTAAATATGCAGTAAGTATTAACTTTCTGGGGGTGGGTGAGGTGGGATGTGAAACACACCTATGCAAAAAAAAAAAAAAAAAAAAAAAAAAAAAAAAAAAAAAAAAAAAAAAAGTCAACAGGTGGTCCTAAAGGTGAAAATAAACTTACAGTCTAATGAAGTAATGGTTTTCACAAAATCGTTGTTTTCTGCAGGAAAACTGTATGCTTGTGTTCTTGACCTTGAAAAATGGTAAAGATCTTGAGATATATCCCACAGAACTATAAAGATCATACTTCTTGAATGAAACCAATGTAATAGCCTAAGAGGTTTCCCTTGCCTTGATAAACTAGACTGCCCCCAAATTACCCCATGCTGCAGGTGTTGCTCCCACCACTAGAACAACCTTACCCCACAGTCTGTTTAAGGCCAATGTTAAACATGACTTCATTTGTAAATGCTTTCCTGACCATTCTCCAAGATACGTGATTACTCCCACCTCTGAAATAGCCAGAAAACTCGGTCCTTCCTCCTCTGCTTTGTAATAAAATACCTTGTGTACTTATCTACCAGATTAACTACAGCTTGCTCAACATGCATTCTATAAACATTTACTGAGTGTCTGAGATGTACAGAATACAGAGGATACAAAGGCAGTAAAGACATGTAATAAATAAAGGCAGTAACATCACAGCAGTAGGTATACTGTACATACAGTGTATATACAGCAGAATGACCTCTTCTACCACACATCTGCACTAGGCAACATTATGCCATTCATTTTATGGTAGGCACTCAGTAAGTTCCAATTAAACTCAATTCCTATCTTCTTTTTGAAGCTTACTGTGCTTTTTTCTCTCTAAACCCTAAATCTGTCCATACCATTCAACACAATACTTTTTAACCTATGTATTAGCATTGTAGGCTGTTATGTAACATTTTACATATAAATGTCTTGACCTCCCCAACTATAACATGTTCTTGAGAACAAGAACTCCCAGAGCATTCAGTATTAATTCAAGAATCTGTTAAATGGTCCTATAATTTTCTGAAATGTGTCATCTGCCTAAATACACTGTCAACAGCACCACTTCTCAATCACCCACCTGTGCTCTGGTTCTCCACAAAACAAAACAGCCTTCATCTAGGTGTTCTTAAAACAGGAGGATATTGTTCAAAGCATGAGAATGTGCCAACTGCTCTCAAGTCAGGAGTCCAGATCCCAGAAAGACAAATTTATTTCTTTCCCCAGCAAATGACCCAGGTCCTCAGAGAATTCAGATACAAATATTTATCATGGATTCATCCTGAGAGCTAGTTAACCTATGTGCCTATAATATAGGAAGCACTCAGTAAATAGTAGTTTCCCTTCTGTCCAATTCTCCAAAGCTCTAAATCTTTTTGGTAAGAAAGAAGAAGTCACTCCAATTTTACTACCATTTAATTTCAATGCGCTGAATATTGCGGAGAGATTAATTCCTGGTTCCTTGTTAATTCCAAACTAGTTGGTAGCTTTGGGAAGCCCAAGGGGGTCTTTAAACCTATAAGGCATACCCAAAATCTTACACACGCAAAGATGACAAGTAGAGAACATTATGCAACTTGAACACAAGATTCCATTCAATAGCTTCTATAGCTATCATTTAATGCACAGTATTCACATGAACTCGTAGATGAAAAGTAAGTTACATATTTGGATACAGTCAGACTATACTGGAACCTGTGATCATACAAGCCCCTAGTCCAGCATCTTCTAGGTACCCTTATGTACTACACAATTACTTCCACACAGATCAGGCAAAATGTAGGCTTCACCAGGCCCATATCCATTCCAAGAGGAACGTCCTCCCTTGTTTAATCTCTGTGAGTGTCAGTTTTGGAGGCTACTCTTCCTTCTCCACCTCTAACCTCTGTAATCATCAAGAACACAAAACACGGGGTGCCTGGGTAGCTCAGTCAGTTAAATAAATGTCCGACTTCAGCTCAGGTCATGATCTCATGGCTCATGAGTTCAAGCCCCACATCGGGCTTTCTGCTGACAGCCCAGAGTCTGGAGCCTGCTTCAGATTCTGCATCTCCCTCTCTCTCTGCTCTTCCCCTACTCACGCTCTGTCTCTGTCAGAAATGAATAAATGTTAAAGAAATAAAAATTAAAAAAAGAACACAAAACAGATGGTAGACCTCCATTTTAATGGTACAAATTCCTGCTGAACTTTGCCAATCTGAATACAGAGTGAATGGTAGTATTTAATACACTTTGGAGGCAAGTTATATCAAGCCTAATGCACAATTAGAATTAGTTACCATAAGAAGAATGTCACTAATCTATCCCACCTACTATTCCTTCTATCTCACTATCCTTTATTGAGGTTAGCTTCTCAAGTATTAACATTCTGACTAATTTATACTACTATAACCCAGAGCCTCAAGTCCCACAGGGTAGCTGGTGTTCTCTCTGACAAGGTGTGTGTTCAGACTACTTAGCAGCTAAATGACATATTTGGCCCTTTCGGGTCTATCCTAATGAACAGAGACTGGGAATCCAGCCCCTGTCTTTTTTTCACTAGTTGTACCTTCCAGATCTGTACCCTGGAAAGGAATAACTGTACCCTGACTTGAGACATTTCAGTTCCAGTTGACCTAAGGGTCAATTTTTCTGTAGACTAATACCTACAATGTCTTAGTTAAAAGACTGAGTCATGCATTGAAAATGCTGGTTCGCCAATGCTACAGGAGGAATACAGCCATTTACTATACTAAATTCCAACAGGAAATATCTGTCATATGTGATTTCTTTTTAAATGACCAAGTACAAAATACTTTATCTAATGAAAACAACTTTGTTCATTCATTAATCTTTGTATACTCTTAATAATTAACACAACCATTTTACACACATAAAGAAGTTAATTAAGTGTCTGATACCAATAAAAAACTGTATTTCAAACATTAACCCATTCCATATCTTAACCCAATTACAATTTCACATTTGCAGGGTAAAAAATTACAGCAGATTTTAGAAGTCCATATAGCTGATTATACTGTAAAATAATTGCCATTCTCCTTCATAAATAACCTTAGCTTCTCAAGTATCATTTTTCTCCATTCCATATCTACTTTCTGCTGTGATAAATTGTGGGCTTTAAAAAGAAAACAAAGTAAGTTCTTTGCAGTTACTCTATAGAGATAAGGGTAGCTTTAAAATAACTAGATATTTTCATGGTAAAGACTGCCAGAACAGTGAAAGTAGTAGGTTTCATACTAAAACACAGGCTAAATGAAACAAATTACTAGCTAATAACATCCCCTCAACAATTAGAATGAACATTTGTGGATAAGTAAGCAACACCTCTTTTATGCAATGTAAAGCTTTTTAAAAAATATTTTCTACATGACTACAGGAAAAGTGCTAATATCTATATGCAATTAATAATTTTATTTACTAATTCTGTATTAACAAAATTGCACCCCACAGCAAAAGAGGAAGGAAGAATAAAGTAGATGGAAGCTATATTTGTCTAACAAAATAAGTTCCTCCTTCTGCTAACCTTCAAAATAAATTTGAACAATAAAGTGGTCTGACGAACTATTCTGATACCTATCAAAATTTTGCTTTTTATTATACTGGGAAAGGGTCCCAAATCAAATAACTGATTTTTATTTGAAGCTGCTTAAGATCCTCAGTGAGCATACTGTCTCCTCCAGTTACTTTATTTCTGTAATCTTTGGTGGGAATTTATATCCCTTTTAACACTCCCCTTCTATTAACAGAGATGAGACATCAGTCTCTGACATTAATCAGATAATAAAATCTTAGAAAATTAGAGATAATAAAATCTTATTAATATTTAACAGTGTGGACAATTAATTTGAAAAAAATTGGAAGATTTTATTACTTAGTTTTATAAAAATTTTATGTGATAATCATAGCTAACATTTATTGAGCGCTTACTATGCGCCAGGCACTGTGCTAAGCGGTATAAAAGCATTACCGTACTTAAAAAGAAATTCAATCTTATATTTGGAAAAAGCATTGAACTGTGAGTCAAAAACATATGTTCTATATCCAGACTGAGCTAAAGTGAAAGAAGAAATACGTGCTAAACAAAGAGAACATTTCACAAATTGTTATGGTCTTTCATTAATAAAAAAGCCAAAAAACACAAACAAAATCCACTCAACTGACCAAACAAAAAATGTTTTAACTTCCTCTAACTGAAAACACAGAGAATGTCTATTATTTATTTGCTCAGCAAATTTTTCTTCAAAAAACACTGTACTAACAAAGGAATGTACAGATACAAAAGATGTAAAAATAAATTTCAATCTATCCTATATCCAGATAACAACAAATTTTGAATTAGGTCTGAAATAATAAGTTTTGCTATGTGAGTGAAATAAGGAAAATTGAAAATTAAAAATCTTTTCTTTCAAATCCTAGAACTGACCCACAAGGGCAGCACTGATTGTTCTTTACTTGGTAGTTATTTTTGTGTTAAATCAAGTATCCCAGAATAAATACAAAATTCTTACTTTGTTGCCCGTATAAACTTGCCCCAAACTGAGACAGCTGACCTGACGTAGATGGTGATGCCAGCATCTAGAAACAAATTAATTATATTAGAGCGTAAAGAAAGTACACAGAGCAATGCATTTACACTTTACAAATCTGTACAATATATCATAATGGAAGAGTCAACACACATTTCTCATTCTTCAAAACATCACAAAACAAGTATTACATAATGAATTCCATGTTTCTAGAGAAAATATCACAATTGGATGAAATCAAAATGTACCTATAAAACTAATTTCTGATTACTACAAGTTTTGTTTCAAGTTACTCCAAATAAAACTACAGCAGCATCATTATTTCACTTAAAACAAAAACAAAAAACTAGGCTAACAAAACCATGAAGGCAGCATCTCAAAAAGTCAGCCTCTATACATGTGTCAGTGAAATTACTTGATTCTTAGATAATATACTAAGCTAAATTCTAAATTCAGTTTATTAAAAGTTGAAAGTAAAATTACCTAAGTAGGAAAGTTTTATATTTTGTAAGAATATTTCCTAACATTTATATTTGCAAATAGTTGATGTGTATCAAATGGGTAGAAAAATGTAACAAACATGCATACAATCATATAGTAAGTGGGCAGAGGGCCCAATACCAAAGGACAAGTCAAAATTACTTACATATACTTGTAAGTATATGTAACTTGTAAGTTACATACACAAAATACTTACATATACATATATGTATACTACATATACTACATATAGACATAGTATATAATGTATACGGTGAGTGAGTGATGTGACTTTGGCACTTATCAACGTCTTTCAATTTATTGCATCAGTGTCTTTTTTTCCTAGTAGAATATAAATTCTTTGAAGGCATGTTATATTCATGGAACATGTTATATATATTCATTTTTTATTTCCTCACAGAGACTGGGCACTGCATGTGGCAGTGTTATACACAAAGTAGATAAAATGAGTAAATAAAAATGTGTACACTTAGGTGTATGTTTGTGTATTCTCTTATATTAAGCAACCACCAAAATAATTTAACTATATAAACCTTGGGCCATATCATCTTAAGAGTTACACTCTAGTAGAAGCGAATGAATTACACACCTAATTATACTCTAAGGTACAATGCAGTAAATGCTCTGAAGTATCACCAGAGGAAGATAACTCTAAATGAGGGTGAGGTAACAGGAATATTTTATAGAGCAGTAACATCTGATGTGGGTACAGATGAAGGATCTTCCAGGCTGAGAATACGCAGTGAGTAAAAGTATGATGAAAGTTAGTGACAGGATTAGAATAACAAACAAAATAAAAAACACCAGTGATTTCATAACATGTAATTAGTGAAGGGAGGTGGGGCTTATATGCCTATGCGCATTTGGGCATACACAGAAGAATGGAAAATAAAAGAATATGCTGGGGCCAGATGACTACCACCTATGGCAACAAAGAGAAAAAATAATATTAAACAAGAAAGTGACTTGATCAAACTGTGCCCTAGGATGATAATTCCAACAGCAAAAATGTATGGAGACATAAGTTACTAAGCCAGAACAGCAGAAGTGGGACTATAAAAGAGAGGCACTCTGGGGCAGAAGCAACTTTCTTTGATGTCCTGCTGAAATGGTTGAGGTTTAGAGAAAAGGAAGAGGGTAAAGAGTCACCAGACAGGGAACTATCAGGCCACTCTGGTATCCAGTGAAGAACTGTGCTGATATCGACTACATTAGGGAAATCAGAAGTAGCAATATTTACATAGAGAATTTACAATGCACATTTCATGCTATTTTCATGTCAAAATTCTGAGGTGTTCAAATTATTCAAAAATTCACAAAAACTTTCATACAATAGTTTTAAACTAATGATATACATCACTCTCCTGAGGTAGGGCTGAGTAACACACTACTCAGAAAATAGTATCTAAATATAGAAAAAAAATTTTTTTAAACAGCCTCAAACCTTATAAATATTCCTTCTCAAATCCAGAGGGTACACCATCTAACCAATCAAACTAAAAGAATACGCATTTTATGCCTGATCAAGTTCTTTTGTTAGATACAATCATCATTACTGTTGCCAACTAACTGGAAATATTTTAAGCACCTTAAAAGGCTCATTTCCAAATTACAAAAAAAAAAAAAATTACAAAAAAAAAAATCAAAGAAAATGTGTAACATATAATAAAGCTTTAGTTGGTGACAGAAGATAAAAGGCTTATATAAAATACTTAAAATCATGATTTTCTGTTATCAATGTACAAATAAAAGAGTAGTTTCCAAAAGCTTCAAATATAAGAGATCGGAAAATATGAATACATGTCTCAGAATGATCCACAATGTGAACATTTTAGAAGGACCTCTTAAAAATTTTACTTTTCCCAGAAATTTATGTTTACTAAATATAAAATTATGTTTACTAAATACATAACTCCAAAGAGACATTTTCGTCCACTTTCTCACAAAATTTACATACCCACAGAAATTACAGATGTGCCAAGATATCAGCCCTCACAATAGCAGGAGGCTGAGGGAGGGAGGCACAGCATGAAGGTAGAGAGGGGCATGGCTCCCTGAGTCAAGTACTGGAGACCAAGAGCAGTAGGGTGACCCATTTACCAGTGTGACATAATAAATATTACCCTTTTCTCTATGTGTGAGAGAACATGAAGAAAGTACTAACGATACTCTACAGGAATAGGAAAGTAGTTTTATTAAACTTAAGAGTTTATAACCTTCAAAACATCCGTGTAAAATAAGCATTAATTAGCTACGCAAACAGATATTAAAATGACTGCCTCAAAACGTCAAAAATACAAATGTATGATTTCTTATAAAACTAGTCCCTAATGGTATGTATTTTTAAACTCTGAGAGCATGCTTCATGAAATATGTCAGTGCTAAAAATGTATTAACACACAATAAAGGAACGTGAATGGATAGAAATGCTATTTATAAGGGCAAAGAAAATGTGTAAGAAATGTACCATGGCACAGCAAGAACTATAATTAACAGACAACAGAAAACTTACATATATTTTAAATGCTGAAAGTTAATAATATAAATTTCTTAGAAAAATGTGAAACTTTAGATCAATAGGCACATTACAGTAGGGAATGCAACATAAGCCCAGCTTTGGAGTCAGAAAAAAAAATCTAGGTTTGAATCCTGGTTCTGCCACTTACCTATGGGAGAGCCGGGCCATTGTTCCTTTCCTGTAAGATGGAAGTAACACTACCTACCTCATAGAGTTGAAGTGAAGATTAAATGAGATAAGATATGGCACATAGTAAGTGCTCAGTAAATGGTAGCAACTGCTGCTAATAATCTAATTTTCCTCCCAATGCAGGACTCCCTTTAACAGCAGGCAGAGGGTCATTCAGCCTTTGGGGAACTTATTGAAAAGTACCCTACATTTATATTAATTTTTGTCTAAGAAGCTAAAGAAAGAAGTTCATCATCACAAATTCCAGGCAAAATAAGAACTTATGTTCACAGATGGGGGAAATGGTAGAAAAAAATTAAATGTCACACAATCAGTAGAATGCTGAAACCAACAAGGTTACCATGTTCCCAGTCCAAAACCATTTCAATCAGTCTTTCTCATTTTTCAAACAGTCTATAAAACACACTGCAGTCAACCAACAACAAAAACCAGGAAGCAGCTAGAAGAAATAGTAATGTGATTTAATTATTTCCGTGACCCAACAAAAAGCCCGTTTAATCCTTTATTATATACAATGTTAAGAAAATCGGTAAATTAGACACCGTATTTAAAAGATACAGTTGTATTTACAAGATACAACTCTGAAATCCATGACCAAAAAAAGTCTAAAAATTTTTTGTTTTAAAAATATATATGAAAATAGATAGATAGTTAAAAATTTAATAATAAACAAATGTGGTTCCTGCCAGCAATCCATAACAACACAAAGGTGTTAATTATTCTCTGCTTCTCAACAGTGACCACCTCTCCATTATTCCCTTCAATAAATGTACCTTCACTCACAAAACATATTAAACACTAAAATCAGTTTTGTCAAGAATTTATTTTCTAATAACAAATGTCTTCAAAATGCAAGAAATTTTGGTTAAATAAAAAATTCCCTGATCACAAAAGCAATTAAAAATTGAAACAAGTTTTTAAATATCCTTAAAAAAAATTCACTGTATAATATACGTAAAGGTATGGACAGAACAGTTCCTAACATGCTGCTATTAATCCAGCACAAAAGTAACAAAGAAGTATAACTTTGACTGTATATCTACAAACAGGAAAAAAACATAACAGAAAAGAAGTTCTCAACCTATGACAGAATCTGAAGAACATTTTAAAATTAAAAACAGTACAGTTTAAAAAATGAAAACACTGAAGTCAGAACGAAATCTAGCAAACAGACACAAAAAGAGAAACTGTAAGAAGATAACACAAAAGATCAAAATAAGAAGGAAGAAGAGAGGGAATAATCAGAAAAACTTAAAATAGTCAATAAGTCACAGGACCTTGTACCTTATGAATCAGATAAAAACAAGTTATGGGTTTACTGGTTATTTCAAATAATTTTGACTAAAACATTAAGTTTTACAAAGCACTGTTGGGGGCGCCCGGGTGGCTCAGTTGGTTGAGTGTCCGACTCTTGATTGCAGCTCAGTTCATGATCCCAGGGTCATGGGATAGAGCCCTACATTGGGCTCTGTGCTGAGTGTGGAGCCTACTTTGGATTCTCTCTCTCACTCCCTTTGCCTGTCCCCTGCTTGCATGCTCTTTCTCAAATAAAAAAAATATTAAAAAGAGCATTTACAAAAAGTATAATGCATGCTACAAGAGTCAATGTAAATTCCTACAGAACATTTAATATTCAAATTCAAAGTATGGCAATGAACATCTTAATATTATCTGAATTTTAGCCAAATATATAGGAAGGCATATGACTAATTCAAAAAATGTTCACATTTCTAAAAGGTTTTTTTAATATCCATTTCTAAATAGTTTTCTATGAAGTTTGAATTAATTATATAGTTCTATAGCAATTACTTCAATACTCCCTCAGAGACTGGCTATTCTTC